TTGTTTTCTTCAATTCGAAGTCTAACAATGAGCTCTTCAACAGTCATCTCTTTTTTCTTATGTAATAAATAATTTTTGAAATCTTTCCAGCTCGGTGGAAGCTTTGCAATTATGGCAGCCACTTGGAAAGTTTCATTCACCACCATTCCCTCGGAATGGATATCATGCAAGATTATTTGAAACTCTTGCACTTGACTTATTACAGTCTTCGAGTCAACCATCTTGTAGTCCAGAAACCGACCTACAAGAAATTTCTTGGCTCCAGCATCTTCGGTTTTATATTTTTTATCCAAAGACTCCCACAGCTCCTTTGCTGTTTTGATAGAACTGTACACATTGTATAGCGTATCAACCAAGCAGTTCATCACATAATTTCTATATAAGAAATCCAATTGATTACATGCTTCAAGCGCACTAACCGCTTGAATATCCGAATTTTCCCCCAACTTTGGAGGATTTTCCGTCAAGAACCTCGCAAGGTTCAACGTAGTGAGATAAAACAACATCTTTTGCTGCCAACGCTTGAAAATTAAGCCATTAAACTTTTCTGGTTTATCAGCATGATTTACCGGAACATTAACAGAAGGAGAAATAGAAATTGTAGTAGCACCACCAGTATTAGCAACGCCAATAGTATTTTGTTCAGGGAATCTGTTTTAGGATTGTAGGGAACTTTATTGGGAATTGAAAATAAGATGGCCATAATATATAATACTGAGGCCTGTGTGAACTCAGTGTCCTTAAAATAGATTCGCCCCGTATGAGCGTCTGTTTCCGAGGATACAATGGAAAAACCGAAACAAATCCGGGGAACTGGAATTATACTTTGACCAAAAACACAATAAAAGACAAATAGGGAAATTGACTTTAATTATTTGTTTTCTTCTTCTCATGAGTGTGCTCTTCAAAGGAAGACAACTCCTTTAAATAGGATAAGATGAGCCACTTCATTTAACTTCATTAATTCAACATTTAATAGAATTAAGTTTGTAACATGAAAACAAGTTACAACTTAAATTTGCAAGTTGTTAAAATTAATGTAATATTTACAATTTCATACAATTTTTCCAACAGTATTTCCTACGTGTTATTTGGCTTGGTTAATTTGTCGTTTATGTTTAGTATTGAGGTTAAATTTATAGATGTGTCATATGAGGTGACTTTATTAATTTTAATTATGAATTTCATGCCATACATGATGTGACTTTTTTAAACATTTTCCAAACCAAAATCAATTGAGAAATAGGATTGTTCCCCATAATCAATTCAAGCGTCGTTTCTCCAAATCCACCTATTGCGCAAATTGTCTCCTTACCCGATTTGGATCATAGATCACTAGTGCGAACCGCTTCGACGTCTCTGGGCATCTGGAAAACGTCGGGAGGAGTCCTGGCGAAAAACACTCCATCGGTCAAGTCAGTTCATGTTCAACAATGGTGTAGTGGCAAAATGTATTTTTCACGTGTATATGTGTTATATTTTCATAAAA